CTTGGCTTGTGTGTAAACATGGCAATCCAGAAGCTCTAGTGGCTTAGAGGTAAGGAACTAGGCTATCAACACAAAGGTATGGCAGTTCAAGTCCATCAGCTGCTCCACAGGAAAAAGATGGACAAGCTACTCCCATGCTATTTACTGCTTCTGAAACTCCACTATAGGTCAGTTGTGGCGCAGTTCCTACTTAACAGTGCCTAACAACAAATAGCAAAAGGAGTGTTAACTTTGCCTGGATCTTGAGTCAGGAACCCATGTTGGACTTTTTAAAACTTGCCTCTCTTTTCCCCCACCCGCCATACTTTAACATTTTGAACAGATTCAGTGATTACTGAAACTGGTAATTTCTAAACTTAAATTGAGAAAAAAGGCTATAGTGCAGAGTAATGCCATCATTGGGCACTTTGAATGCAACACTGAAGAATAATTAACAGCCGCCCCTCAGACGAAGGACAAGGTGCAGGATTGACTCTGGATGTTGTAGTCAGAAAGAGTGCGGCCATCTTCCAGCTGCTTGCCTGCAAAGACGAGCCTCTGCTGGTCGGGTGGGACGCCCTCCTTATCCTGGATCTTGGCCTTCACGTTCTCCACGGTATCAATGGGCTCCACCTCCAGAGTGATGCTCTTGCTAGTTAGGGTCTTTTCAAAGATTTGCATTTTGACCAAGCAGATGAATTTGTGTCACAAGGTTCTCAAAACTTGCCTTTCGAAGGCGCAGTTTCTTGAACCTTGATGGCTGACCTGGTTATCAAGGACATGATTTCTTTCCTCTGAGGTCTGGTCACAAGTAAGCATTATCTATTCCCAAAAGCTCTTTTTCATTTAGTCTAGTGGATGAAAATGCGATAGCTTATGGCCAAAGTGTCTTGGTATGCAGGATTATTAACAGTGCTTTACAATTCTTGTTGGAAGGTGATGGCAAGTTGAGTACTACTCATAGGGACCCTGTGAACAACCGACCTGAGCCCTGCCCTCTCCTGTGCCATCCTCATCATCTCTGACACACCAGAGCCCATTGCTGAAGTCACCGTGTCAATCCATATAACTGGGGTCTTCCTCTCCTTCGTTCTATGCATCAGAGAGCAGGACAATAAAGACGACAGAACAGATGCCTTTGAGATGTGAGGGTAGAGAAGGGCGCTGAATATCCCATGGACTGCCAAGGAACAAACGGGTATGTCTTACAAAATGTGGAGCCAGGGTGCACCTTGGAAGCAAAGTTGGCAAAGAATCATCTTTCATACTTTGGACATGGACCTGGGTGAGGCTTTTCCTTGGAAAGAAAGAGCTTTACAATAGACCCCCCAGAAATAGACATGGCTGAGAACACAATTTCAATAAGTGACCAGAAAAACCTGCTGTCTCATAGCATCTTGTGACCACTATGTAATAAACTGAACAGTATGTACCTTTAATTAGGCAATTCTCAAGTGTGTTATGGACCTCTATGCCAAATTCTTGCTTCTGGATATCCCATCTTCAACCTTTAGTTGTTGACCCAGCAGTATAAGAATGCACCTTTTCCCTTGGTCTGGTGGGGTGGTCATTTTTACTGTATGATAATAAATGTTTCCCTGGTTTCCAGCCCTCAATAAACTTCATTTGCTTTAAGTAGACCTTCCTGCTATGTATCAGAGAGCTGGACAATGAATAAGGAGGACAGAAGATGAACCAACACCTCTGAGTTGTGATGGGAGAGAAGAGTGCTGAATATCCCATGGACCACCAAAGAACAAATGGATATGTTTGTCCATACAGATCAAGAGACAGTGCTTCAAACAGAACAAGGGGCTCCTCTGTGGTTCAAAACTGGAAAAGACGCATGCTGGGGTTGTATCCCTCCTCTTACTTAACTCTATCTGTATGCTCAACAGATACTCTGAGAACAGGCATCAGGGCTGGAGAAAGATTTATGAACAAGATTTAATAACAACCTGTGACATGCACATAACTTGGCTTGACAAAAATGAAAACGGCTTGAAGCACTTGGTGATACAAAATCAAAGATTACAATCTTTAGTATAAATTACACTCGCATGTGAAAGACAAAAAGCAGAAATCCTGCACAACTGAACATGCACCATCAAGATACATGGAGAAGAAACTGAAGCTGTTAACGTGCCATTCTACTTGGATCAACAATCAATGCCATCAAAATCAGTGTCAAGAAATCACATGGTGCATTGGGTAGATCTGTTACAAAGACTTTCTGAAAGTTTTTTTAAAAGCAAACATGTCACTTTGATTACTAAGGTGTACATGACCAAAGCCCCGACATTTTTAATTGCATCAAATACATGCAAAACTTGCCCAGAAGCTAAGAAGAGTAAAGAATTGTTCCATTCAAATGAAAGTATTAGGGAAGAAGATGGAATATATTCTGTGGACTGCCAAGAGGGTGAACAAATCTGTCTTAGAAGAAATATAAGCAGAATTCTCCTTAGAAGCAAGGATGGTAAGATCTTTACTAATTTAGACCCATTGTCAGTAAAGTCCGGTTACTAGAAATGTTTGTAAAGCAAACAGTCAAAAGTAAACAAACAAAACCAACCCAAGGGAAACACAATGAGACGGTTGACACAACACAAAGACGAATCACACATATTGATGATGATGAAGATGGTGCAGGCCTGGAACAACACAATGCTCCATCCTGTGAAGACTCAGGAGGTCACTGAAGAGTCAGGGCCTGCTCGGAGGGAATGACCTGTGTGAGTACACTAAGTGTTTTATAGACAGTGTTGGGGGTGTTTGCTTGCCATACAACGCCAACTGCACTGTTTGGCAGGACTCGACTTTGTTTCCCTACCCCTCCAAAATGTGGCCACCTCTTTTGGGATGTTTCCTTTGTCTTATCCTGAAAGCTCTTAGCACTTGTCAACATGCCCGATGATCTGAGGTTCTGGGTGTGTTTCACTTTGGCACCAAGCCCTTTTAAGCTTTAAAGAGTCAAGGTCTAGTCTTACCTCAGGCCTGATAACAGGCAGAGAGAGACTCCATTTGAGTCGAATCGCTCTATTTCCCCTTGCTTTTCCCGTTTTTGCTTACTTGTCTTGACTGACTGCTCGTGTTCAGCACTATCCTCTCTCCTCATTTGAAAAGAATGCTTTGGCAGCTGGGCTACCTGGAACTCTGGCCCTGGTGCTGGCAAAACCTCACCTAATCCCATCCTAAAGGTTAAAGACAACAGAGAAGGAAGGGATCATTCTCTCTCCTTATATTAAGAAGCCCTGTTGCTTTGTTAATCTTGAATTACATGTTTCACTTAGTAGATACATGGCCATTTGCATTTTTTTTGTTTGAATCATATATAAACTGTGGTAATTTAGCTCCTAGTAGGGAAGACATTTAGAGAGCTCAAGGAAAGCTGTCTGACTTCACTGATGTACAGGTCCTAAATCCGTTCTCTAAACCCACTGTCAACTACCTGAGTGTGTCCACCCAAGACAGACTCAATCTTTAGGTAACAAGAGGAGAGCAAAATCCTTGCCTTGTCCGGTGCTGCAGGAGGCCTCACTGCCCTCGGCTTATAATGGGACCTCAACAGGCTGTCACTTTAGCTTCAGTTCAGAATTAGGCTCTATCTTCATGTTTTAAAAGGGGAAAGCATAGGAATTTGAAACGTACTGATAATTAACAAAGGTTTTGATTGAGGCATTCACAAAATGCCACAGAAAACTATTCACTGTTTTATTTTATCCCCGTTTTCTTTCTTCTTCGTCTTCTTTTTAAAAAGAAAAAAAAAATTCAGAGCTTCTGAGACTCAGGCTTCATTCTACAGGAAACAATGTTCCTCTGTGTGTGTACCGTCAAATCAGATCTGACTCTGTGTGTGTGTGTGTGTGTGTGTACACCGTCAAATCAGATCTGATTGGTACAGAAGGAGATTGCCCCTCCTTCTTCAGCAGAGCATCTGGTGGATTTGAACCGCGTACCTCTGGGATTATAGGACAGCTTCTTGCCACTTGGCCACCAGAGCTCCCTAAGAAACAACGTCCCTCTTTTAAGCAGACTCAGTCAGACTCAATCACACCAACAGGGTTATTTTCTAATTTCTGGTTCCAGTGCTAGCTGTCACTGTTTGTCTCTACTGGGCATGGACCTGAACTTACCAAATCTCTGACTTACCCATACTTGGTATTTCCTGGGCTCTCTGTTCTGGCCACCACTTGCATTGGAGTTCCTGTGAGAAGTTTGCTTGAGAGCACTCAGCGACACAGACAGCAGTCCTGGGCGCTGCCAGCTGCCAGCGACTGAGCAAAGGATTACATGAGGGAACCAGCAAATTAAAGGTTTAAAATGAAGGTGGACAAACTCCATTTTCCACAATTACACTACTGGGTTAGATGATGTTTTTAATGCATTATGTGTACACAGAATCCAATGTTTAACCTATTTGGTTATACATAAATAGACAAATGGATTTAGGGAAAACCTCCAGACTATTTTCCCAAATGATTGCTATCGCCAAAAGAAAAAACAAAACAAAACAAAACAAAGGGGGGGAATGAAGCGCACAAATTAATATCCCATTCAGAATTTGGACACAAAATGGGCTGACCTTTATTTACATAAAGTCTTGGTGGACATACATCCAAGGATAAGCTGGCCTCTGTTTTCCCCTGAAGCTCTGTGGGCCACAAGTTATGCCACCAAAAGCTGATTATTTAAGATGAAATGGTAGTTGCCTACAGCCCAGGGTTTCTGGTACAAGGGGCCATTCCAGTCATCAAAGCTGTTGTTCTGAACACAGCTTAGAGACATGGGCCCATGACAAGTACATGCTTCAAAAATAACCATCTGAAATTCTTAATGACTTTAAATCAGAAATTCAGGAACTGATAGTCCATGGAGGCAGCAGGTTCCTATACAGAGTTCATAGTTGCTCACACTTTAAAACCATAAATGTTGGAGTAACATTATAAGCAAACAAACTCGAATATACAAATAAACAATTCAAGATCTATTACAATGTAGAGCTACTGACCCCTTTTCTTTTAGGTAAGGTTTTCAGAAAACCCTGGGATAGATTTTATATCACAAAATGGTCCATAACGCCCAAAAATGTCTTTTGATTGGACTGTAAAATAGTACTTGTTTGAGGCTAAAAACTGAGATAAAGTACAAGCCATAGGGAGTGGTAAGGCTTTAACTTCTCCAATTTTCTTCCAAATCAGCTTATTATTCGGGGTCTCGTGGCAGAGGAAGAGGTGGTAGCTTTCCACAGGAGCGCACTTGGGGTTGATTTTGGTGATGTTCCAAGTCAGGGCAATGCCCCTGGGCTTCAGCACTCGTTTCACTTTGAGCTCAGGCTTCTGGGGAGGAAGCGTGTCTCGAATTTTATCCACCAGCTCGGGGAAGGGTGGTGGTGGTTGTGGGAGAGGTGGAAGGTGCTCAAAGGACTCAGGAACCTAAAAAACACAGTGAAAAAGTCCAGTGATCTGGTTTGATGAGGACTAAGCCATTCCAGGACGTTCCGGGGGAACGTTGTGCTGCTAACCTAAGAGGTTTTGCTTCAGGGGCTGGGAGGACAAGGCAAGTGAATGGATGAAAACCAGTCTTTGTGAACCTTTACTAAAATTAAAAAAACAAAACAAAACAATCAACTTTGAAAAAAGCCATGAGGTCTGGGGGAGAAACCACCAAATCAAGAGCACTAGCTAAAAGAAAAATACAAATGGAAGTGTTAGACTATTACAAATTCATGTTCGCCAAAGTGATCTTTTCTTTTTTTAGCTAGTCTTTTGCAATTTTACTGAGTGTGGCTATAGAAAAGCATCATGGGGCTTGTGTCTCATACTCCCTGCTTCTCTTTGCCTTGATCTCGTCCAGTCACTCGTCAAGATAGACTGTGTGCACAGTGGGCAACCAAGTGGGCTCCACAGTCAGACAGACTTGTTTCAAAGCCTGACCTCTGGCACCTACTGTCTGCATAGGATTCCACCTCCCTTCTTTTCTTATCTGTGAAAATGGAGTAACAATAACAACTCCAGTGTGAGAACTAGGGGGATAAAAAGAGGTCTTGCTTCTTTGACAGTTTGAGTCCACCAGCAGCTCTGCAGGACAAAGACGGACAATCTACCCCATGTGACTTGTAGGTCAGCCTTGGAAACCCACGGAAAGTCAGCTATGAGTTGGTTCTGACTTAATAGCAATGAGTTTGAGGTTGGGTTTGTGGGGTTTTTGTTTTTTTTTTTTAAATAGTTTATGTAATTTAATGTGGCCAACTGCAGCCATTCTGCAACTTAATCATCAAGTTGTCCCTTCCTCAATCTAATTACCAAGTAGTAAGGGTTCAGGATGCTTCTTCAATATGTGAGACTGCCAGAGAGAAATAAATGACCAATACACTCATGTCATTAGTGGCTTTGCTGCCATGTGCTGTGAAGCTAGACAGGGTGAATTGCACATTAAGGTTTCCAAAGAGCTATCCTCTTTACAGAAGCAGATTACTATATTGTTCTCCCTCAGAGAGGCTGGTGCTTTTAAACCCACCAACCTTTTGGTTAAGCAGCCAAGTACTAAACAATTTTGCCAACAGGGCTCCATCATAAGTGGTTTACTCACTCAGTCACTCATTGCTGTTGAGTGAGAAAAACTCACAGTGGAACCTCCAGAGGGTTTCTCAGGCTGTAAATTGCACAAGAGAAGAGTGCCCATCTTTCTCCTAAGGATCTGCTGGTGAATTAGAAGTGCCAGAGTGAGTGGCCTTTGGGTGAACAGTGCACCTCCCTATGGACTATGCCAACAGAGATGCTTCACTTGTGGTTGTGGTGGTGTGTGCCATCGAGTGGGAACCAACCCACAGGTGACCCTCTAGTGTGTTTTCAGAGGCAGTAAATCACAAGGGAGAAGACTGCCCATCCTTCTTCCATGGAGCAGCTGGTGGATTCGAACTGCATGCCTATGGAATTGCCATCAAAACTGTAATAAGGCAGCACTTCTCACTCAGAGGCTGACTACAATTAAAAATATGCAAAGTAACTGCTAATGAAGGATGTGGAACTCTCATATGCTTTACTAGTAAGAATGCAAAAATGGTTCCACGGCTGTCTGGAAACCTGTTCCTCAAAAAATTCAACACAGCACTACTACATATGACTCCTTTAATTCCACTCCTAGGTGTATATCTACTTGAAAGAACTGAAAACAGATGCTCAATTAATATACAGGAATGTTTATAACAGCACTGACAAAAGCCAAATGTGGAAACAAAATATCCATCAGTGGGTGAATGGATAAACAATGTGTTTTATGCACACACCAAAATCTGAAAAGGAAGTACTGACACCACCATAGGATAAAACACGAATAAGATTATGCTAAGTGAAAAAAGTTGGGACATTCATATTTTATTATTACAATTTTCCTAAATACATGCACTGGTAGAATCCATACAATGAGAATGTGGAAAGGGCTGAGCCAATAAGGGTGGTAATGAGGGAGATAAACTGATTAATGTGTCTGAGGTACAACTTTAGTGAGATGGGAAAGTTTTAGAACTAGACAGAAGTGGAGGTTGCACAACACTGTGTGTGAACACTAAATGTCAGTTATTTAAATTCACTTTAAAATGGCTACATTTATAAACTTTACACCTCAAAAATTCTTTTCAAAAACTGTATCAGAATTATGAGATTGGATGCAGTTTTCTTAAGCATTAACTTTTTTTGGAGTTAAGGTTTCTATCCTCTAGAATAACATTAAATTAGAACAGGTGAGGTCCCTGACATTCTAGAAAAATATTCCATCTAGTTTTAAATTGCGTTCCCACTCTTTTTTTAAAAACGACATGAAAAATGGCAATGGCTTTATCAAGAATGGTCATTACAATAAAAATATTTTCTAATTTTTCCAACCAACAAATGCTGGTGAGGTTGTGGAGAAACTGGAACCCTTATTCACAGGTGGTAGGAGTGTAAAATGGTACAATCACTATGGAAGGCAGTATGGAGCTTTCTCAAAAAGTTGGAAATAGAAATACTATTTGACCAAGCAATTTCACTACTAGAAATATACTCTAAAGAAACTAGAACTGCCACTGAAGCAGATATATGCACACTTATGTTTATTGCTGTGTTGTTCACAATAGCAAGAGATGGAAACAACTCTAGTGTCCATCAAAAAATAAATGGATAGAAAAGCTGTGATATATTCATACAATGGAATATGAAGCAGCACTAAAAAACAAGGAACACAAAATATTATACAAAATGGGTAACCCTGGAGGATATTACGCAGACTGAAATATCTCAGTCACAAAAGGACAAATACTGCATAACACTACTGTTATAAAATAGGACTGACATGAGAGTAGGGGGAAAACTTAAGAGGAGATAAATAATTAATGTACACTGCATTGAAACAGATAAGAACTGTTTAAAAGAAATATATGATTAGGTATTATTTGCATGACAACAGTCCAGAACAAGAGGTGCATAGCAAAGTGGATGGGTATGGGGTGGGGTGGGGTGGGGAGGAAACTGTGCAACAATGAAAGAATTTTTTTAAAAAGAAAAGCAAACTGGTGGTGGCAGGGAGAAAAACAATTAGCAATGTATGAATGGAAATCCAGGTTCTCGGCAAACTTTCGTTAAAATCTCAATTAAAAAAATTTTTAAAAGTGTGTAAGGGGGAAGGGACTCTTAGTTTAATGAAAATGAAACTACTAAAATGGAAATAGGAGGAGAGTTCATATATTGTGAAGACTGTAACTAATGCAACTCAGCAAACTGTGTAGAAATTGTTGGAACACAAATATAATACGCTATGTAAACCTTCAGTGAAGACAGAATGAAAATGTAAGAATTAAAATGTTTGGAAAACAAGAATGAAAATGTCTAATAAAAATTTTTCTAACTTTTCAGAGTTTACTTTCTCTGGAAGTAGCTTCTGAAAAATTCAACTAGAATTTTTAAATTGAGAATTATTTTAATCGAGTAAATGAGCAGGCTCACAATAGCACATGTTCAAAACATTTTAAAGTACTTACTAAGTTGAAGTGAACTCAAATGTTTCTTAGGGACTAAAGAAAATACTTCTCAATGTGGAAAGAATGTCACTCATATACCTCCGATACATACCCGGACAGGAGCTTGCGCCACTGGAGTTGTCTCTTTTGAATTTAAAGCAGCTTTAGAAGGAGACTTCGGAGGGGAGGCTGGACTTTCTGTGAACACAGTTTTAAAGAGGTAATATTTATCTGTAACAATCCATTTCACAGCTTTTAAGTAAGGAATAGTTTCTGTCTAAGGGATAATGGGAACCGAAATGTGAAGATACCCTTTTGATAAATGTCTAAGATCCAATGGTTCCAAATAGAGAAAATTTTTCTAATTTAATGTGACAAAAACTCCTATCTTAAAAGAAATTCCTCAGTCAGCATGCCATGAAGAACAAAGGATGGAGAATGGATCCATGCTCAGTGGTTTCAAGAATGATTCTGTTCTATCTGTAGACAAAGATGTCCACAAACACCAAGTTGTTCAATTATGTATGAAATATCACACACACACATCTTTGGAGTACAAATTAAGAGTCATGTAAATTGGAGCTATGACAATGACTAAGAATGACAGAAGAAGTAGTGATGTCTTTGAGTTGTGGTGCTGGAGAAGAGTCCTGAACACAGTCTGGACTTCCAAGAAAACAAATAGGTCTGTCTTAGAGAGGGTGAAACCAAGTTTCTTCTTGGAGGCTAGGATTTTGAAGCTCCATCTCACATACTTTGGGCTCATGCCAGGAGGGACCAGTCCTTGGAGAAGGACATCATAATTGTAAGGGTGGAGGGACAGAGCAGGAGAGGAAGACCCTGGATGAGATGGATTGATATAGTAATTAGAGTAATGGGGGCTGGTGCGTCAGAATCAGAGATACTGGCTCAGGACAGGGCAAGCTTCAGAGCTGCTGTATAGCTGCTGTAGGGTCACTATTGGGTTAGAGGTGACTCGACAGTACGTAACAATGAATTGAAGCTAAGGAAACCTCTACCCTTGAAGTTTGTATTGGCCTGGAGGGTACTAGGGATACATTCCTAGGAGAGAAGAGTTTTCTCCAGTGTCAATGTTGTTTGATATTCTCCAGTCTTTCTTTCTGTCTGAAACTGTACAATGGTTACTATGATGCTTTGTGTTCTCAAAACAACAAATCCTTCACGTGTGTATGTGTGAATACATGCAGGCAGGTATCCATCAAGGTACCTATTTCTATTTCATTTTTAAAATGAACTTCGTCAAGATGTAACTTGTTATATATCGTTAAATGAGAAATGATTTATAGATGGTTGTCAGAGGCTGTAAATCGCACAGGGGAAGATGGCTCATCTTTTTCTCCACGGAGCACTGGCAATTTGAAGCAAGTGCCTCTAGATTGGCAGCACAGATATTCTCACTAACTTATATATAGTAAAATGCACCAATTTTATGTGTCCATTATGCTGAGTCAGTGGAAAGAGAAGTGAGAGTGAACAGAAGAAAGGAGACGAGGAGGTCTGAAAAACTTGGGGAGAGGGAGCAAAGCAGGTGAGCACTAACTTAAAAATGTCTTGACAACATCTGGGAAGAGTATATATTAGGGGAAGTTAAAAAAGGGGTCAATGCTACAAAGTAGTTTGAGCTATGCTTGGAAAGTAGAACTCTGAATTTCTCTCATAAGCAGTAAATAGAATTTACTGTGTATCCAGTGTGCTTATTATACTTTAGGATCTCTCCAAATAAAACATTATCTTTTTTTCTTTTGATGGAGAAGGATAACCAAAATTTTGAATTTGTGTGTTTCAATGTTAATCTATGGGTCACTCTGCTAGTAAAATATATTTTTGTTGTTACTAAGCATGTACACAGTAGAATATAAAAACTTGGGGTTTTGTTAAGAAGTAGTGATTTTATGTTTTTAATTTCAAGAGGATCCATAGCCTGGCTGCATTGATCAGAAATAGATCAACACTATCAGCCTGAAAATGAATCATCAGACAAGAGGTAATACTAACAACCTCCTCTAAATTTTCAAGTGAATGGTTTTCTACAAAGCAACACATCCTAACAAATTTCCCATAATTCCTTCTCTCATGGTAATATATCAAGACGGCCTTGATAAATTTAAAATAGTTAAGACAGAAACTCAACTTGATGATGGTAGTAGGAAAACATCCAGACCCTTCATCTCAGCCTGAAGAGCAGCTTTTATCTTTAGTATCATCAACATCTTATAATTATTCCACACTTTGCTTTCCTTATCTATATGGGAACATGTAATGGCTACTTGAGCACTCTGTGTTCTCAAAGCAACTGTTCCCCATTATTTTAGCAATCTTCATTAAACCACTAGGCGAAAACAGTGGCCTCTGGATTTAAATGAAATTTAATCAAGGCTAAATTAAAGAAGTGTAGTTCTTACAATATTAATTTGTACAATGCTAGACCAAATATGCATACTATGGAAATGTTGTGGCAGAAGGAAAGAAGCAGTACTCGTGTAAAGAAAATTCCCACCCTACCAGAGACTACTGCCCTTTGGTGTCTGGCCTTTCAGATCCTTCACTATATTACATAACTGTATGGATACACAAATTGTCCATGACAATATTTCTACTATTAAAAACTATTTTAAAAGCTTCTATAGCTTCCATAAACTTTAGGAGATACAATTTAGCTGCAATAAAATGCACCATTTTTAAGCATACAGTTCATTGTCCTTTCAAAGATGTCCACACTTCTAAAATCACCAACATAAAATATTTCTACTATCCACAAAAATTCTTTAGTATCTTTTTTCAGTTTCACTTCTGGTCCTATAAAACTTGGGCTCTGTTATCACTAACAAACGCCTTTTTCAGCAATCTACATAAATCAAAGCACGATTATTTTGCCCAGAATCTGAGACTCATTCATGTTACTGCACATATCAATATCCATTCATTTTCACTGTGTAGTAGCATTCAGTTATGGGCTATGCCAGATTTTATTACTTAATTCATCTGTTGATACATTTTACTTATTTTAAGAATAAAATTTTTTATTTTGTGATTTTAATGAAAATTTACAGAAAACTTGAATTTTCATTCATTTATTGTTGCATATTTTTACCCTCTCTCTCTCTCTTCTTCCTCTCCAAGTTCACTTTTTTTAAAAAAAAAAAATATTAGTTCATTGTTGCACAATTACCTCCCTCTGCCCCCTAATCCCAAGTCCTCTCTATAATATACCTCTTATTCTGGGATGTTGTCATACATATAATGCCTAATCACATAGTCCTTCTAAACAATTGTTCCTCCTCACTATGGACAATTACAAATGCTGGAAATACTACCAAAGGCAGCCCAAAGGAAAATAAGGGCCGTCTGGGGACCCCAAGACTAGAAGAGCAGTATGGCACTTTATACCCCCAACTCAAAAGAAGGTGATGTGGGCCCAGTTTCCCAGGCCCTAAACTTAGTGCCAAGCACAGGTGGGCAGATTTCTCTCCCAGTTTGAACAGGAGTTTGACTGGCAACACCAGGGTTGAGCAGTAGTGAGAAAAGTCATGTTCTGAAATAAACAGCCAGATTAAGCACTCTCTTTCCTCACCAGGCCTGAGTTTCTCTTCCCCTACAGACAGACACAGGGTAAATGGACAGTGTCAGCAAGGGGATCCCGTTAGAAGTGCCATACTGAGAAGTGCTCTTCTTTCCCACTGGACCCAGGATTCTTCCTGTCTACAGAGACACAGTAACAGGGAGAGAATAAAACTTGGCCAACAGATTCTGCCACAAAATGTACCAGGTCTGGAAAGTGCTCTTTGTCCCCATGGGTTGAAGACTCTAAATGCATGCGAAGGCCTGGTTTTCAGAAGCTCTTTCTGTCTTCTCAGGTAGCACCAACAAGGACTACCAGTGTATCTCCACTCAAACAAAAAGAAAAGTTTTGAATGCTAAATTGTCATTGGTAAAATGGTCCACAAAAGTTACCTATACATGATGACTGCCTGTTGTTGTTGTTGTTGTGATGTGCCATCGAATCGTTATGAGTCACAAGCTTGCAACTCTTAGTGACCCTAAGTACAATAGGCCTGAAACCTGCTCTTATCCTGTGCCAACTTTACTGTCTCTGATGCACCTACCTCCATCACCGTCACTGTATCAATACATCACATTGATGAACTCCCTCTCTTTCTCCATCTCTCCACCTTTCCATGCATTATGTCCCTCTCTAAGTACTGGTCCCTCCTTGCAACATGCCCAAAGTATGTCAGATGAAGCCTCTGAATCCTTGTTTCCAAGGAGCAGCCTGGCTTCACCCTCTCTAGGACAAATCTGTTTGTTCTCCTGTCAGTTTATGGTATATTCAACACTCTTCTCCAGCACCACAGCTCAAAGGCATCAGTTCTCTTTCTATCATCCCTTGTCACTGTTCAGCTCTCTGATGCATAGCAAGCAATTGTGAAGACCATGGCCTGGATCAGGCGCACCATAGTCTCCAGACAAATGTCACTGCTCTTCAGTACGCTGGAGAGGACCCCGACAGCCGAATTTCCCAATGCAACTAGTCTCCTGATTTCCTGGCTGCTGGTACCAAGAATGTTGGTTGTGGAGTCAAGCAAACTAAAGCTGTTAACAATCTCAATCTCTTCACCATTCATCATGATGCTGCCAATCAGCCCAGTGGTGAGAATCTTTATTTTCTTTATGTTGAGCTACAATCCATGTTGAAGGCTGCAGCCCTTGACCCTCTGCAGCAAGCGCTTCAGTTCCTCTTAAGTTTCAGCAAGCAGGGTTGTGTCATCAGCATAACACAGACTGTTGACGAATCTTCCTCCCATCCTGATGCCACAGTCCTCTTCATACAGCTCAGCTTCCCGCATGATCTATTCTGCATATAGATTGAAAAGGTATGGAGACAGAATACATCCCTGGCGTACACCCTTCCTGATTTTGAACCATGCAGTATCTCCTTGCTCTGTTCTAACTGCCTCTTTGTCCAAGTATAGGTTTTGCATAAGCACAATCAAATGTTCTAGATTCCCATTCTTCTCAGAGTCAGCCACAGTTTGTTGTGAGCCACACAATCAAAGGCCTTTGCATAGCCAATGAAACACAGACAGACATTCCTCTGGTACGCTCTGTTTTCAGCCAAGTTCCATCTAACACTAGCTATTATATCCCTAGTACTACCATGGCCTCTTCTACACTCAGCCAGCACATCTGGCAGTTCTCTGTGGATGTACTGCTCCCATCATTTTAGATAATTTTCAGCATAATCTTGCTTGCATGTGATATTAATGATATTGTTCGATAATTTCCACACTCTGTTGGGTCACCTTTCTTTGGAATAGGAACAAATATAGATCTCTTCCAGTCAGTTGGCCGGTGGCTGTCCACCAGATTTCTCGGCACAACTTAGTGAGCACATCCAGGGCAGCATCTGTTTGCTCAAATATGTCAATTGGTATGCATCAATTCCTGTAGCCTTGGGTTTTTTTGCCAAGGAAAATATTTCAATATAACTTACAATTAAAATGTCCGTAAGTTATCTGAAAATCATCTGTCATATCAAGAACCTATAAAGTCATTACTTAAAGAAGAAAAGGCAATAGATAATGACACTGACTTGAGTCAAATGTTTGGAATTATCTGACATAAATTTTCAGACTAAGAAGAAAAGAATCTTTAACAAATATCACAAATTTTCTTGAAACAAAGTTTTTAAAAAATAGAAAATTTCACCAAAGAAACAGAGGAAAATACAAAATACATTTATAAAATACAATAAAAGAAATAGAAAATATTATAATCCTATGTATTGCATAGCAGAATAAAAGACAGAATCAGTGACCTCCAAGGCAGATCAATAAGTTACTCCATCTGAACAACAAAAGAAATTTAAGGAAAACATCAGCTTCCCAGAAATGTGCATCATCATTATCATCATCATAATATTCATATAGTTGGAATCTCAAATGAGAAGAAAGAGAGTAGAGGTCAAATAAGAAGACATAATAGTGGACATTTGGTGATAGACAAGCACATACAGATTTAAGAAGCCAAGAGACCCTCAACTGGATAAGCCCAAGAATTTAAGGCATATATGCCAAAATTAAATGTTTGAAAATGAAAAGAAATTCTGAAAGTCCCCCCGCCCCCATAAGTGTATTGAATTGGCCTAAATGGCACAGAAGGCAATTGCCTCTCTTCTCCAGCAGAGCACCTGGTGGGTTCGAACCATGTGCCTTTAGGATGGCAGCGCAGCTTCTTGCCACTAGGTCACGAAAACTCCCACTGAAAGCTTTTTTTAAAAACAACAACTTTTTTCCCTTAGGATTTCAATTTTTTTTTTAAATTTTTATTATTATTTGTGTGTGTGTGTGTGTGTACCATCAAATCAGATTTGACTGGTACAGGAGGAGACTGTTCCTCCTTCTCCAGCAAAGCATCTGGTGGATTTGAACCATGCACCTCTGGGATTGCAGTGCATCTTCTTGCCACTAGGCTACCAGAGCTTGCCCCGCTGAAAGCTTTTAAGAGTACAAATGACACACTACCTAGAACACTATTTTCAATCACACATTTCTCATATGAAATTAAGGATGCCTTAGTATCTTACCTTCCAGAAGGAAGTGGCACAATATTTTTACATGTGTTGAAGAAAAAAGAAAATGTGATAACCATGAATTTGATATCTAGCAAATAAACTATGATCCAAATTCTTCAAATTTGCATTTCTAACTTTTACCATTGTCTTATTTGTCTAGTGCTGCTAGTAAAGAAATACCACTAGTAGATGGCCTTAACAGAAAGAAGTCTATTTTCTCACATTTCAGGGAGCTAAAGCACCAACACAAGAAGGCTAAATAAGCCATCTATTCCAAGGATTCTCTGGGAACGTCAAAAATAGAAAGCAATGTGAAACAATTACATTTTAGATGACACTGGATAAAGTTATACTGAGTAAAAAATGGCAATCTCAGAAATATACAGGCTGTATGATTCCGTTTATATAAGATTTGCAAAATAGCTGTAATGATGAGGAACAAATTAGCAGTTAGTTGCTAGGAGGGTTAGGAAATAGGGGCAAGAGGTAGATGTGGCAATAAAAAGGTAGGATGAGAAAATTTAAGATGGAACTATTATTCTGTAAACTGATTTGGTGGTAATTACACATATATACATAAGTGATACAATTAAACAACACACACTAACACTTCATAAACTGGTCCAGTAAATCCCCAGTTATCCTTCCCTCTTGCTTAAAAAAAAAGTTATTTTTACCTGTTTCGCATTTGAATGGGCCTTCTTTCGTCAAATCAATCACAGAATCAGGTTTCTTCTTCTCTACAGCCTGAAAAGTTATTGTTAATTAATGAAGTTTTGTTTCAAGAACAGAAAATGTTTTCACAGACAAAACAAAAATTCTGAAATTATTATTTAGAGGCTAGAAATTAAATACTGAATAAATGATAGGTCATCCAGCATGTAAGCCACCACTTGTCTGTCAGTTTGCTATATACTGTGGTGTATTTGTTGCTGTGATGCTGGATGCTATGTCCTTGGTATTTAAAATAGCAGAATGGTGGGCAGGTTTCAGCAGAACTTTTGACTAAGACAGACTAGGACACAGGATTGGCCATCCACTTTTAAAATTACAGATCCTTTTCAAGAATCCTGTGAATAAGAGAGGATCATTGTCTAATGGAGTACTGGATGATGAGTCCCTCAGGATGGAACATATTCAAAATATGACTAGGGAAGGGCTGTCCTCCTTCCCTAAAGTAGATAGCTTTACTGAAGCCCTCACTCAATAAAGGACTTTAATTTCCTGGGATAAAAAGAGTCAAACTGAGGAAAAATAGCAGTCAATAATTACCCACTAATAACTGGAACATGGAATATAAAAAGTATGACTCTAGGAAAATTAAAAATTATCAAAAATGAAATGGAATGCATAAAGACTGATAGTCTAGGTTATTGTTGTTATGTACCATAAAGTTAGAATCGACTCACAGCTGACCCTCCAGCAGTTTTTCAGAATCAGTAAATTGCAAGGGAAGAGACTGCCCATCTTTCTCTTGTGGAGCAGCTGGTGGATTTGAACCTGAGGGTTGGCAGCACAGCTCCTTAGCACAAGGCCACCAGAGCTCCAACACAGGTTATTAGTGAGTTGAGATGGACTGATATTAGCCATTCTGAATCAGACAATCATATTATCAATTGTGCCAAGAATGACAAATTTAAGAGGAATAGTGCAGAATTCATCGTAAAAAAGAATGTTTCAAGACCTATTCTGAAATACAATATTGCTGGTGACTCAAATACACACATTACCTAATAAAGCCAAAGGTGAGGAATAGAGGATGTCTACCAACTTCTATAAGCCAAAACTGATCAAACATGAAATCAAGATGCATTAATGAGTGACTGTTGTTATGTGCCATCGAGTTGCTTGCGGCTCTTAGCTCTAAACCCTGCTCTATCCTGAGCCAACCTTATCGTCTCTGACACACCTACCACCACTTCCCTAGTCACTGAGTCAATCCATCTCTTCAAGGGTCTTCCTCTCTTACACTGTCCCTCCACCCTCCCAAGCATGACGTTCCTCTTCAAGGACTGGTCCCCCTTGCAACATGCCCAAATATATCTGATGAAGCCTCAGAATCCTTGCCTCCAAGGAGCAGCTGGCTTCACCCTCTCTAAGATGAACCTGTTTGTTCTTCTGGCAGTCTATGGTAGATTCAGTCCTTTTCTTCAGCATCACAGCTCAAAGGCATCAACTCTCCTTCTATCATCCCTAGTCATTGTCCAGCTTTCTGATGCATAGCACGTAAGTGCAATGACCATGGCCTGACATCGTCACTCTTCAGTACTTTGGAGAGGTCCCTGATAGCTGACTTTCACAATGCAGCTCGTCTTTTGATTTTATGGCTGCTGGTACCATAGTGTTGATTGTGGAGCCAAGAAAACTGAATCTCAATCTCTTCACCGTCTTTCATGATGCTGCCAATTGGCCCAGTTGTGAGAATCTTTGTTTTTCTTGATGTTGAACTTCATATTTAAGGCTGCAGGCCTTGACCTTCTCCAACAAGCACTTAAGTCCTCCTCAAGCAAGCACTTCAAGTCCTTCTCAGTTTCAGCAAGCAAGACTATCATTTGCACAACATAGGTTCCTGATGAGTCTTCTCCTAATTCTGATGCCACATTGCTTCTCATACTACCCAGCCTCCTGGAAGATCTCTTCAGCATATAGACTAGAACGAGAAATATTGGAAACAAAGAAGGAAAATATGGCCTTGGAGACAGTCTGGAGATCAGAGAAGAGAATTCACAAGTCAATGATTTATTCATTGTAGAGATCATTTTTAAAAAGCATAAGCTGAGACTATACTGATGGGTCTCATCTGACAGAATATACAGTAATCAACTGAATACATTTGTGGAAAGAGATGTTGGAAAAGCTAATTATCAGCAGTCAGAACAAGGCCGACTGTGGAACAAGCAATCGCTCACATTCAAATTCATACTGAAGTGGAAGAAAATGAAAACAAGTTTACAAATACCAAAACAGAACCTTGAATTTACCCCACCTGAATTTAAAAATCATCTCAAGAGTAAATTTGATAAATAGAACACTAATTACTGAAAACTAAATGAGTTGTAGGGTGATTATCATGGATTATTATCCATGAAGAAAACAAAAAGTCATTACAAAGGCAGAAAAGAAAAAAGAAAAGATCAAAATGGATGTCAGAAGAAACTTTGAAACGTGCTCTTCTGCATTGAGAAGTTGAAGAAGTGAAAGAAGAAATGAACTGAATAGAAAACTTCAAATGATAGCTCCAAAAGACAAAGCAATATAACAAAAAGAAAAAGATCTGGGCTTAGAAAAACAAGAGAAGGACAAAGTTCAATTTCTTAGCTCAAAGAACTGAAGAACAAATTCAAGTTTTGGGTTGTAGTACTGAAGGATTCTAAGCACAAAATCCTGAATGTTGCAGGAAGTATCAAAAGAAATTCACAAAAAAGAACTGGTGCAGGTCACCAGACATGATTATGTTATCCTGGTTGTTGCTAACATCCTCCTCTACATTCCAGGAGACAAAAGTCTGTATGAGACTAACCAGCAGAATAAGCATATGCATGTGCTGCTGGCCACTGCCCTCACTACAGACTCTATTCACATCAACAAGAGCATTCCCCTTCCAGGACAAATATGAGGACAAGATGCTGCATATGCAGAAAAATGACCCCCATAGGCCTATGGGTCACAGTTCTATCTGCAGAACTCTTTGGCTACTCCTGCCACAAATTCCTGTGTCACTTGTAGTGCCTAACTCAGAAAACAAGTACCTCCAATGACCAAAAGGAGCCTTTCCTACAGCAGCTAAAGAGGTTTTCTGATGAACTGCAACAATAGGCTCATTTCTCAACCATCTGGAACTCCCTCACACACTACACTTTAATGCCGAGATCCTCACAGAGCAGGAGTTCTGGATTCAGCTTTTGGTTTTCAAGTACAAAATGAAGAACCTAGTATGAATTTCAGGCAGTCCTGAGGTTGACTTCTACATTGGTCTGATGCCAGGAACCACACTATAGACATCTAAGTTGCTAGGAGCTATGCAGATTTTTCATTTATCAAATTCATAAGTTTGAGGAGCTTAACTGAATTAAAAAGAAGATGGGAAATAGACTTTGAGTATATTATTGATTGCATTAATCTTTTTGCCACTCTTGGGTTTTTTTCCCCTCCTTCTCTCCCTTCCTTTTTTTTTCTCCTCAGGGTAAAGCTTGAACGCAGTTCCACTCTGAAGCCTTTACCCAGATCAGCTAGGTGTCAAGCGAATGGACTTTTATTTGAATTAAGGATTGGAATGCTTTAAGTAGGTCTCATAAACGATCTCCTTGAAGGAAATAAAAAAGAATTGGTGGACAATGAACCATTTCAAGAAACAAAATATGATTAAGAACCAATAGTACTGAATGAAGAAGTCCGAGCTGCAATAAAGGTGCTGGCAGAAAATAGGGCTCTAGGAATTTTAACAGTACCAATTGAGATGTGTCAGCAAGCAGATGCAGTATAGGATGTGCTTACATAAAGAAATTTGGAAGACAATTTTCTAGTCAACTGACTGGAAAAGATTTATATTTATGTCCTTCCAAAAAGAAACAACCAACTCACACCAATCCAACAGAATATGAAAATTACCAAATAATAATATTAAATGCAAGTAAATTCTTGTTTAAGGTTTTTTAAAAAAATAGATGGAGAGTGTAATAATGGGAAACTGCTAGAAAGCCTGGATTCAGAAGAGGCTGTGGAACAAGAGATACCACAGCTGATATCAGACAGATCCCGGATAATGCAAAGAATACCAGAAAGAGTTTACTTGTGTTTTACTGAGTATGTGAAAGTATTCAACTGAATGGAGCATAAGAAACTATGCATAATGCTGAGAAGAATCAGAATCCAGAATATGTAAACCATGCTACGGAGTGTTAGAATGTTGGGTGGCATGTTGATTTGCTAAGGGGAGTAAGATGACGTGATTTGGCCTCCTGTTTAAAAACCCTAGTTTAAACTGTTCGTTGTCCAACATTCTTCTAAGTGGTATAGCACTAGTCTGTGCATTGCTGTACAGAGGTAACTCGTGGTTGCTGTGATGCTAAACGCTGTGACACTCATGTGCCAAATGCTATAATGGTTACCCATGGTGGACAGTGTTTGGCAGACCTTCCCAATTAAAACAAGCTTGGAAGCAGAAGTGACATCCACTTCCACAATGGCTTGCCTCCAGAAACTCTATGAACATGGAGAAACAACCGAAGTTATACAAGTGCTCAGGTCTTTTGCTCAGTATGAGTCATCTATGACTCGACAGCACTTAACAACAACATGCAGTACATGTACACAGACCAAGAAATCAGTCACTCAAACAGAACAAGAGCATACTACAATAGCTTAAAATCAAAAAAGGTGTGTGTCAAGGCTGTATCCTTCCACCATACTTAGTTTGTTTGCTGAATAATTGTAGTAGCTGAACTACGTGAAGAATGAGGGATCAGGATTAGAAAAAGACTCATCAACTACCTGTTTTATGCACATGACACAACCTTGCTTGCTGAAAGGGAAGAGGACTTCAAGGAATTATTTTAAACCATCCAAGACTATAGATTTAAGTATGGATTGCATCTCAACATAAAACACAAATTCTCACAACTGGTAACAGACAACATCACGATAAATGGGGAAAAGACTGAAGCTGTCAATCATTTAATTATACTTGGGATCTACATTCAACACCCAAGGAAGTGATAGTCAAGGAATTAAAAGATGTATTGCTTTGGGCAGATCTGCTGTCAAACATATCTTTAAAGTACTAAAAAAACCAAGAACTTCTTAAAGACTATAACACACAGCAACTACAACAAGGTGCACTTAAGCCATGGTGTTTTCAACTGCTTCATATGCATATGAAAGCTGTACAGTGAATAAGGAAGACTGAATATGAATACCTTTGAATTGTGGTGCTGAAGAAGAGTACTGAACACAACATGAACTGCCAACAGGCAAACACAGATAAGTGAAAGTAGAGCATACAAGGTGTTCCTTAGAAGCAATGATGACAAAATTTTATTTCACATACTTTGAATATGTCAAACAGAGGAAATAATCCTTGGAGAGTGGTATCATGCAAAGAGAAGTAAAGGGTCAGTGAAAGAGAGAATGGGCCTTAATGAGTTGGACTGACACAGTGACTGCAATAGTGAGCTTAAAACATGTCAAGGTGGCGCAGGATCAAGCAAGGTTTTGATATGTAGTACATGGGGTCACTATGAGCGGCAGTCAATCTGATACCACATAACAACAACAAAATACAAAAAAACTACAATGGGCTCAAGTAAATCAGCGATGATGAGGATGGCACAGAATAGGGCAGGGTTCAGATCTGTAACTCACAGTCACCTCAACAGCACAACAATAACAACAACAATATATTAGAACAATATTCAGAGATAATGTTACTCACCATAGTGTCCTTTTCTCTATCAGGCTCCTCTTTGGAATTTCTTGACATAATTTTTCTAGTATCTGGAAAAACAAAAAGGTCAAAATACAAACACATTTAACATGTTCGTGAAATTATTAAATATTTATGGACAATGTTACATATGAAAGCTGAAACAAACACAGTAAGAGTGAAAATAATTAACTGATAATTAGCTGGCAATCATTAAAACAACTCACTTAACTTACTCTAATTTTAATTTAACAGTTTTCAAAAGTACTTTTTGTAACCTTACAATTATATGACTCTTTAAAAAATATCTGGAACCAGAGCGCTCTGGTGGCCTAGTGGCAAAAAGCTGCACTGCAATCACAGAAGTGCACAGTTCGAATCCACTAGATGCTCTGCTGGACAGATCCAATTTGACAGTACACACAAAAAAATAATAAAATAAAAATGTCTGGAACCAGTAGGAAACCTGAGATAAATGTTTACTGTGCTCTGTAACACTCTGACACACAATCTTACATGTACACCTTCAAGGAAAAGAAATAGCTATGTAAGTAGAAGAAAGACTTTCTGAAATGAAGATGAGAATACCAACATGCTGAAAAATGAAATGAAAACAGACACTGAGAAATTACAAGCCACCAATATTATGGCTTATATTTACAAAATTATGGCTGAAAAATTGTGAGCCAACAAGATGGCTATCCTAAGAGAAAAGATAAGCATTATGGGAACACCAAGATGAATGTATTTAAGGCCTAACAAGACAGAAATTTTTTAATCTGTGTTTCATTGATTATGCAAAGGCGTTTGACTGCGTGGATCATAACAAACTATGACTGACTCTGAGAAGAATGGGAATCCCAGAACATTTGACTGTTCTAATGTGAAACCTATACTTGGACTAAGAGGCAGTCGTCAGAACAGAGCAAGGAAACAATGCATGGTTCAAAATCGGGAAAGGCATAAGCCAGGGATGTGTCCTATCTCCATACCTTTTCAACCTGTATGCAGAACAGATTATCTGAGAGGCTGGGCTCTATGAGGAGAAGTGTGGCGTCAGGATTCGTGGAAGATCCATCAACAATCTGCGTTATACAGATGACACACCCTGCTTGCCGAAACTGAGGAAGACCTGAAATGCTTGCTGCAGACGGTCAAGGACTGCAGCCTTCAGAATGGATTGAGGCTCAATGTCAAGAAGACAAAGATTTTCACCACTGGATCAATTGACAGCATCAGGATGGATGGTGAAAAGATTGAGATTGTTAACAACTTTAGTCAGCTTGGCTCCATGGTCAACACTCTTGGCACCAGTAGCCAGGAAATAAAAAAACGTATTGCGATGTTAGGGACCTCTCTAGGGTACTGAAGAGCAATGATGTCACTCTGGAGACTAAGGTGTGTCTGATACAGGCTATGGTCTTTGCAATCACTTGTTATGCATCAGAGAGCTGGACAATGACTAAGGAGGATAGAAGGAGAATTGATGCCTTTGAGCTGTGGTGCTGGAGAAGAGTATTGAGAGTACCATGGACTGCTAGGAAAACAAACAGATTCATCCTGGAGAGGGTTAAACCAGGCTGCTCCTTGGAGGCAAGGATTCTGAGGCTTCATCTGACATACTTTGGACATGTTGTAAGGAGGGAGAGGTCCTTAGAGAGGGACATCATGCTTGGGAGGGCAGAGGGACAGCGCAGAAGGGGAAGACCCTCTATGAGATGGATTGATTCAGTGACTGGGGTAATAGGTATGAGTGTGTCAGAGGCAGTGAGACTGGCACAGGATAGAGCAGGGTTTAGGGCTGTTGTACATAGGGTCGCTATGAGTCGCAAGCGACTCGACAGCACATAACAACAACAAACATATTATGAAACAGAAGGAAAACGTTATCAAATATTCAAAAGAACAGTTTCAATCTTAAGACCTTAAGTAGACTATAAGACAACTTAGTAGGTAAATAATAAAGACAAACTAAAGCATGAAGCACCACTTCACCTTAGACAAGAGGTCTAGACAAATTATGAAAAATAAGATACATGAAACATCAATAAGTTCCATAACATGCATAATCATTAAACAGAGAAAACAAACAAGAGGGCATAAGCTGATAGAAAAACAATCATAAAAAAAATATTCAATTATATTCAAGAATTGTTTATTTATGCAATATTAATGACAGATATAAATTAGAACAGTTTAAAAAGGAGAATTAACATTTTACTTTAGTAAAAGATATTATCCAATGATATATTTTAAATACTGATTTGAGATTTCTAATTTGATATCATATTATAATCAATTTAAGATACCTGTTTTATTTGATGTAACTGAAGTTGTCAAATTAGGTCTTTCCATAGACATGAACATAACATCATCGTTACTAAAATGATAAAAAAAAAATTAAAAATAAATGAAAACATGCAGTAGTTGGCTTCAACATGCAATCGATGGTTAGAATTCTTTGAACTATAATCTGATGTATTTGAACAGAATAGAGGCAGAGAACGGAAATAATAAAACCAAAGACTAATGTCTTACTAATTCACACCTGCTTGTTACTTTCTTTCTCCTTAACTGGCTCATTAATTTCACAGATCCAACTACAGTGTGGGGGTAGGAGAGGAGCACTCCTTAAAACCAGTTAGGATCTAAGTGAGAGTGGTCCAAGTCCTTTACTCTTTCCATGTCACCCTTCTTGCTGGCAGTGTTTGCAAATAAAAAGGGGGGCGGGGAGAAAGGTGGGACTAGGGGCCTTGCCATTTAACCTGGCTTTACTGAATCCCAAATCAGCCCCAAAAAGAAAAGATATGTATCTTGTTTGCTGTTCCCTGTCCACACAGAACTGAGGCTTCAGGCCTTGATCTGCAAGATGGTAGGGGAGCAGTGCAGACACAATATGTGACTATTACTTGACCACAATCCTCCAAGATCTGCCATTTAAACTACTGAGAGTGCAGGGGTTTGTGAGCATTAGTCCAAGGTGAGGGGTTATTTACCTAGAAGTCAGGATAGGGCAGGTTCTCTGATATGCCTGATTTACTCTGTCTGATTTGCACAAGCTAAGGGACCTGCCCAAAGTAAAGTCATGGTGGGGAGACAAAAGTGTTTCACACCATGGCTATAGGATAGGGAAGAGCTGGCCAGGACCACTTCTGAAATGCCTCCTGGGCCTGGAGGAGCATATGGTCACCGAACTTTTGCATAATGATGATTTTCACAAAATGACCAAGTCTTGGAACTTAATCATGTTGATAAGTGAGATAAGGGTGCAATTATATAACAAAAGTTCTAGGGAATCCAGTAAAAAGAGACTGAAAAGTTGGTAGGGAGTCATTCAAATAAACCAAAACATATAATAATATCAAATATACTTTCACTCCTAAAAAATGAAGGAACAAATAACAACAAAATCCCACTGAGACAATTGAAAAGAACCTTGCTGGTGAAGTGGCTAAGCACGTGGCTGCTAATGAGAAGGTTGGTGATTTGAACTCATCAGCCCCTCTGCAGTGGAAATATGGGAAAGTCTGTTTTGATGAAGATTACAGCCTTAGCCACCCACTGGGACGGTTCCACTCTGTCCTATAGGCTCCCTATGAGTCAAAATCTACTTGATGCCAGTGGTATTTTTTCCTCTTGTTTGGTCCTGTTTTCAAGACATTTTGATCCTTTTGGGTTTATATTATTATATTTATATTATACTATTCTACATTCTATTACTATGATAACAATCTCCCTTTCTCTCAATGCTAAGTTGGAATCGACTCATAACTGACCTTTCATTGGTTTTCAAAGGCTATAAACTGCATGGTAGAAAAGTGCCCATCTTTCTCTCATGGAGCCACTGGTAGATTGGAACCATCAGAGAGGTGGTTGAGAGGTGGTTACTCTGGCTTAGTACAACTCCCTACAACATTGTTGTTGTTGTGTGTCACGGAGTCAGAACTGACTCTTAACTGACTCTTCAGCAGGTTTTCAGAGGCAGTTAATTACATGGGAAGATAGTGCTCATCTTTCTCTCACAGGGAAGCTGGTGGATTCAAACCACATATCCCGGGTACTGCAGCGCAGCTTTGTACCACTAGGCCACCAGAGCTACGAACAATGTTAATTATGTGCCATCAAGTCAGCAAAAATCTCCTAAAGTCAGGCAATGATGATGATAAAGCATCCTGATTACATTTAGGGAATAACTTGATCTTTTGCTGCCACTTTGACCATCAATGCACTTAAATGAGTTTGACAAACATTTTAATCAGAATGTTAATAATAAAGATAAACTGCATTAAGTCCATTAGAGTTATCAGGTGAATTTTTTACACCATTTATGACAAGATTTCCTCATAAATAGTTTTCTTGTGCAGTTAGGTATACGGTCCATTTTTAGTTCATGTAATTTGTATAGGTACTGTGCTATAAAAGTTCTGGTTTACCTTTTCTCTTTGGGTATTTCAGAGTCATCAGTTGAAAAACTGTCTTTTCCCAATAAATTACCTTGGCACCTCGTTTGAAAAACAACTGAGTACAAATGGATTTTCTAGACCCTCTCTTGATCTGCATATCCATTTTTTCCACTAACATACTATTGTCTTGATTATATTCAAAGAGTTGGACTAGGAGAATAAAAAGGGAGGGACTCAGCATTCATCAAGAGCTGAAAAATTTAAGCCCTGAGTTGCAATACTTAGAGATAGTATGGGCAAAATGTTGAATGAGCCAGGAAGCATCCAAGAAAGACAGAAGGAGTTCACAGATTGATTATACTAAAAAGAGATGGTTAACATTGAAATAGTTCAGGAAGTACTATATGATCAAGAGCCAATGGAAATAAAGGAATAAATTCAAGCTACACTGAAAGCATTGACAAAAATAAGGCCCCAGGAATCTATGTCATACCAATATTAGTTGACATGTTTCAACTAATAGATGCAGCCCTGAATGTGCTCACCAGTCTATGCCAGGATATATGGATGACAGCTTTCTGGCTGGCTGACTGGAAGAGATCCCTATTTGTTCCCATTCCCAAAAAAGGTGATCCAACAGATGTGGAAATTATCAAATAATATAATTAACACCACATGCAAACAAAATACTGCTGAAGATCATTCAAAACCAGAATAGTACATAGACTGAGAACTGCCAGAAATTCAAGCTGGATTTAGAAGAGGCCATGGTACCAGAGATATGTCAAAAGAACCCTGGCTGAGAGCAAATACCACAAGAAGGTTTATTTGTGCTTCACTCACTGTGCAAAGACTGTGTAGATGACTATGACTTATGACTGTGTGGAACATAATAAATTACGGGTAACACTGAGAAGAATGGGAATCCCAGAACACTCAATTGTGTTCATGCACAAGCCTATATTAGACCAAGAGGCTACTGTGCAAACAGAGCAAGGAGACATGAAATGGTTTAAAATTAAGAAAATTGTGTGTCAGTGTTGTATCCTTTCTCTATACCTATTCAATCTGTATGGTGAACACATTATTTGAGATATTGGGATCTATGAGGAAGAATGTGGCATCAAGATAGGAGGAAAACTAATCAATAACCTTTGTTATGCAGATGACACAATTTTGCATGCTGAAAGTGAGGACTTGAAGCACCACTGATCAAAGAATAACACCTTCAATATGGATTTCATCTCAATGTCAAGAAACAAAAAGTTCAACACTGGACTAATAGGCAACATCATGATAGATGGAGAAAAGATTGAAACATTCAACAACTTTATCTTACTTGGATACACAATCAAGAGATAAGGAGATGTACTACACTAGGAAAATCTACAGTCAAGGATCTCTCCAAATTATTAAGGAGCAATAATGTGAATAAGGTGTGCCTGATCCAGGCTATGGTCTTTTCAATCATTTGTTGTGCACTGCAAAGCTGGTTAATGAATAAGGATGACAAAAGACTTGATGCTTTTGAGCTGTGGTAATAGAACAAACAGGTATGTCTTAGAGAAGGTGCAGTCAGAGTGCCCCTTGGAGGCAAAAATGAAAACGCTTCATTTCATATACTTTGAGCATGTTGCTAACTGACACAGTAACTGAAGCAATGGGCTCAAGTGTGTCAGAGATAATGAAGGTGGTGCTGGATAGAAAAGGGTTCAGGTCTGTTGTTCACAGTGTCTCTATGAGTAATACTTGACTCAACAGCACCTAACGACAACTATAGCTTCTATTATTCTATAGAGGCAAGGAGTGTACATCTCCTGATCTCCTTTTATAAACTATTCTTTAATTTTTCAGGTTTTTGCATTTTTACTGAAGTTTTAAACCAGATTGCTTTCTACAAAATGGGATGACTGGAATTTTGACTGAGATTACATTAAATATAGGAAACTTTTTAAGTTAAATAATGGTTAAAACCATTTAACCATCTAATGTGAAGTCTTAGCAATATTTAAATTTCTGTACTGTGAGCAAGTCATAGTCTTACGTTTTCTTCAATTTTTCTCAACAGCATTTCCTACTTTTAAATTAACTCTTATACATATTTTAGCAAGTTTATCCCTAAATTGATCATTTCTTTCACGGTATTGCAAATGGTAGCCAGCTTCAAGTTTAAAATTCCAATTACTTGGCCTGTACATAAATAACACATTTTTAAATAGTGAAACTTATTTAGAAATCAAGTTGCCCCACTCTGTAAATAACCAGAACTCTATCTTTGTGTAATTTCTTCTTTTCACTGTTCTGTCTCACAAAGTCAAGCTATTTCAGACTCCTTGATCTCAACTCTGTTCTGCAACCTGGACAATAATCGCAGTTAGTATCCATGGATAATTTTCAGGTTGTGCCCTCCTCCAGGGAGTAAGTGCCTGAGCTGCCTATTGATATGTTTGACACAATTCCTTCTCTATTGTAGTCCAGTTTTCTAGCTATTCACAGCAGAGGAACAAGTTCTAAAATAGTTTGTGTTTCATTAGCAGAAGCAAAGATGGCCCATTTTTTTCGAAATAAATTTTTTTCTTGTATATTTTAACAGAATTAAGTCAGTATTTTTCCTATATCAAATTAATGACAAGTACTAATATTATTACTTTTAAACTCAATTCATTGCCCTCAAGCTGTTTTTGACTCACAGTGAGCATCCATCTCAAGCTTCCAAAGTAAATCACAATGGGGGGAGACTGCCCTCTTTCTCCATCGGAGCTGAACCACCAGTGAAGAGTGGCCTTTGGTTTAGCAGTGTCTCCATCACAGCTCCCCTATTTCCTTATGGTTAATCAGAAACAAATGTTCAGATCTAAATGTTAATCAAGAACATTTATTCTTCCATACATTTTTAACACCTACTAGAATTTGTCTTCAAAGAAAGCCACATTACTACTTAAAAGATAGTGAGTTTGTCTCATGTTGTTTTTGATTG